AAAAAAAAAAAGAAACAAAAAACCAAGGGACCATAAGAAAAAAATATTCAGAAAACAAAAAGTCTTCACTACTTGAGAGGAGGAGAGGTTAGGTGGGGGTGTGTGTGTGTGTATGTGTAATGAAGAGGGTTCACTCCTCATCTTCCATAGTGACAACTGATAATGCTTAACCATGAATAATCAAGAAGTAGCAGGGATTTGGAGATGAAAAAAATGAAAGTGGCTGCTTCTGGAGAGTGGCAAACAGGTAAGGTGGACCAGGGAACCCTTTTTTTGTTTTGTTTTGATTTGGGGGTGGGGGAACCACTGCTTTTTTTTTTTTTTTTAAGATTTTATTTAAAATCTGAGCAAGGAGCCCGATGTGGGACTCGACCCCAGGACCCTGGGATCATGACCTGGGCCGAAGGCAGCTGCTTAACAGACTGAGCCACCCAGGCGTCCTGGAACCACTGCTTTTTGAAACAAGTTTTCTAAAGCATGTTTGACTTTTCAGGGCTCAGCTTGGTATTCTGTCTTCAGTGGCTCTCCTTTGAAGAGGGCTTTGGATGCTAGTCCCAGGTTCTTGACCTAACAGAATTTAACTTACTCATTTGTAGAACAATGCATTGTCATTTGAAAACCTCAAGGTGACTCTTCCATCTCTTGTTGCTCTATCATTCTTTGATGCCAAGTAACCTTTTCTAGAGTTAAAAAAAAATCTGGTGCCTGCTTCAGCAGCACATATACTAAAAATTGGAATGATACACAGAAGATTAACATGACCCCCTGTGCAAAGATGACATGCAAATTTATGAACATTCCAAATTTTTTAAGTAAAATATTTCTCTGAGTTCAAATATATATAAAAACAAATGTAAATAGATATATCTCACATCTGAAGGGTTTATTTTAAATTAAGCCTTCATAATCACTGACTATATATGAAAACAAATCCACAAGTTCTCTCAAATGGAAATAAACATTTATTGAAAGTACTTCTTTATTAAATAAATGCTCCAAATTTTGAAAATTTAGAAGTTTGTCTTATTGTGGTAAGATGCACATAAAATTTACCATTTTAATCATTTTTAGGTGTACAATTCAGTAGTGTTGGAAGAGAAGTGCTTTTTAAAGAAAATGTATGCAAAAATTAGCTCAGGATTGGAATTATTTGTGTCATGACCTACACCAAAATATTTAATGTTCCTCATTTCATATTAGCTTGATGAAATAATGTTAACATTATAAACTTTCAAATGTCTCCACTGTAGGTAAGATTAGAACCTATGAGAACTATTTAAAATATTCAAGAAATTAACTCATTTTTTCACCCACTTAAGAGTCATTTGGGGAGCCATTTGAAATAAAAAGTAGTGTAACTAAATCTAAGCAATTCCAAATAAACGCCCATTGTTTCTTGAGAGACAAGACATCACCAGTATGAGCTACAGAAAACACCCACGTTAACATCTTGGATATATTATTTTCTCGCTGAATAAAAAGTTAGGCACACAGCTTTTCTATACAATAACTGGGATTGTGCACAGTCCCCCTCCACACTGCTCTGAAAATGAACTTTTGTTTTATGCAGATGTAGGCGAATTAGAATGAACAAAAGGCACACATTTGAAGGCTGAGAACATTCAACTGAAAAGGAAAAACAGATTTTTCTTCCATGAGACAGGAGACCAGATGTAACTGGTTTACAGACTGTTCTGCAGCGGGCAGGTTAGAAGGTTCCAGCTGTCCTGTCTTTGAAAGTGGCGGTCTACCAGCAAGTATTTTCTAACTGCTCCTGCCAAGGTTGCCGACATGGCCTATCTGAAAGAATAAACGGAAGAAGTCGAACCTCCTTCTGGTCTCCTCTGGCCCAGCATCAGTGTCGGGGACCAACTTCTGCCCACACCCACTATCGCAATAGCTCGCGCATGTTAAGGTCTGAGCCATTTGCTAGAGGATGGGGCCCACAGGGAGCTGATGGGGCTGGGAAAGTGCTGCAGATCTTTTCACAGAACTTATGGGAGAGGGAGCCTGCATAACCCTTCCTAAGAAGACTGATGGAAATATGCTGGGTTGTTAGGAATGTTGAGGCCAGATCCCTGAGCCTGGACACAGAGGCAACCATGAGCCCTTCCTGTCCCATTCCCCGCACACATGCTCCAAAAGGCTACATTCACTCTGACATCCAACAATAACTCCACTGAGACTGTGAAGCCAGGCAACTGCACTGTGTCGTCCATGGCCACTGTTGTTGGTCACAGTCCAGAATGATCACACCTCTGCTCTGTCCAATTCCTGCTTGCTTCTCCACGCTTCTTCATTCATCCCTTAAACACCGATGTTCCCATTGCTTTTCTGGCAATGCACAGTTTCTGACATGTGCCCTCATGATTCTAATGTAATCATCATCTATATGCTGATAAATCCAAAATCTGCTTCTCTAACCCTAATCTCTGCCTTGAATTTTAACTCCTATATCCAACGGCATGCAGGCCTTATCGGGTGGAAGGCCTCACAGGCACTAGAAAACCCTCAAACATTATGTGTGTAAATAAACTCCGCAATCTCTTACTTGAAATCCTTGGGGACAAAGCTTTCATGGGATTTTGAGTTTTTCCAAACTTAGAAAAGGTAATATATAGTATATAAATACTACCACCAGTGAGGTCTAGGCCAGTGCTGTATAATCAGTCTTTTTCTTCAGTTTTGCTGAAGAAAATTCCACTATTCACTTTAAGTGGAATATACAAAGGCTAAAAATAGTCTTATGTCAGCTGAGGTCACATTTTGTTATCAAATGAATTTGCACCAAATTGACAAACTTAAGGGCTTCTTAGGTGTTGGAATTGTGAATCAGTGATTATTGAACTTTCTCTGTCACACATAAGATATTAAAGGGCAATTATCCCTAATATACACAGAGCTCTTAGAAATTAATAGGAACAAGAAAGATGAAACCCAGAAGGAAATTGGACCAAGGGCATGAATAGACCATTTAAAGATAACATTTTAAAAATGTTCAACCATACTAACTGCAAGTTGTAAAGATATGCAACTATAAGATATTTTCTGCTTCTCAGATAAGCAGGAATAAATAATAATTTAGCAAAGGTATAGAGAAATAGGCATTCACATATACTATTAGTGAGTTAATATTTGTAAAAACCTTAGAACAGTTGCCTAGCACATAGTAAACTTTACATAAGTGCTTGTTAAATAAATATTGGGAGACATTTTTGTTGGTAAAAACTTGGGGGAAGACAACTTACCAACAGTTGATATTAAAATTTTAAATGTCTATATTCTGATGATATCCAGCACCTCCGATTCTAAGAATTTATTCCACCAAAATACTCAAGCAAAGATATATTATGTAGAAAGATGTTCATCGAATTACTGTAATCATGAAATTTGGAAACATCACTGCCATCTTTGGTGGTGTGTTTCTCCTCAAGCTGGTAGGAAGGCAGCCCTGGCAGCTCCACGCATCACATCCAGACACATCAACATCCAGGGGAAGAAGAGAATGCCTTCCTGGGGCTCACTTCTAGGACTAGGCAAACTTTTCCCAGAAACTTCCCCGGAGACTTCCTCTCTGTTCTCATTGGACATTTCTGAGGTCCGTGAACCTTCCCACACCAACCCCCAGCAAAGGGAATGGCATTACTCCAGGCCAGTGGTTCTCAAACATTGTTTATCTTGGGACCAATTCAGGTGCTTAAAAATTAAGGATTCCAGCACCTGGGTGGCTCAGTCATTGAGCGTCTGCCTTCGGCTCAGGTCATGATCCCGGGGTCCTGGGATCGAGCCCCGCATCGGGCTCCCTGCTTGGCGGGGAGCCTGCTTCTCCCTCTCCCACTCCCCCTGCTTGTGCTCCCTCTCTAGCTGTGTCTCTCTCTGTCAAATAAATAAAA